TATTTTTTCTTTTTACAAGCATTCAGTAATACTATATAGCATGAGATTACTGTCTCTCAACAGAACAACTATATCATCAATTCTTAATAGAATGTCATAAAAACAAAACTTTACAAAAAGGCAAATAACAAACAGCAATAAGAACACACACACACACACACATATATATATATAAATTATAAAAATTTGCAAATTGTGTAAAATTTATAAATATGTATAGTGTATAAAAATTTATATATTAAAGAATTAAATTGACAAATTATAAACTATTTTTTTACACTTAATTTAAAATAGATTAAATATGGAATCCTTTTTATTTTTTGGTTTCAATTTGCTATAACATCACAAGAGTGGTTGTCTGGATAAAAAAGTGAAATTAGGAAATGACAAACAAGATAAATTTTTAGTTGATCTTAGGAGAAATACAAATAAAAGTATTTTGTGGAGATCAACAAGTATTTCAATGGTTTACTGATAACTGGTCAAAATAATTAACGCATGAAGAGAATTTGGGAAATTAGATATTTCTTGTGTTGTCCTACTAAGACAAGTGATCCAGTTTGTTGTGCAAAAGATTGCTTTAGAGATCTTGTCGTGAAGTGATGGAACTGCTGTTGATCATACTAATTCTGGCAAAAACCAGAAATGTTTTATTATTCTATTTTATTAATTTTAAGAAAATTTCAATATTTTATTATTATTATTAATGAAGTTTTATAGTAAATAATTTTAGCCAAGATTGATGAATATGCTATATCTTGTTTTATTCCCACCATAAAGAAGAGTCAGTGTTTCTTTGATGCTGGTAAATAATGGAGTTTAAGTATTTAACAAATAGCATTTGAAAACTATCATATTAAAATTAATTTCTGCTGATTCTATATTATCTTTTAATTTTTGAATTTAAATGAGTTACACATGATGTTATTTTAAAAAAGTCAAGGGTGATTAATTGGTTCAGTGTACAAATTGTAATGTTACATTAAAGTTTTTTGTTAGTACATCAATTATATTGAATCATCTTAAATCAAAGCATACTTCGCTATCAATAAAAGTCAAAAAAGTAAAGAAAATGATTCATAATAATGATACTTCTATCATTGCCTGTTCAAAACTGGTTTGGAAAACCAGTTTTTAGTGAATGCTATAAATGCAATTTACTGAAAGTGGTTTTGTTGTCAGCATTAGACTTTACATGCAAGCAATAATTGACCTAGGATTGAAAATTAGTGAAAATGAAAGATCTCAAAACTATATGTGATGAAATTAACTTTGCAATGATGCCACAAGATTTTCTTCTGTTAGTTATGTTAATAAAATAGTAAGCAATCTGATGATTAACAATAAATTTTTAGTTGAAAATTGCTCCTAGAATTTTATAAGAATGAGCATAATTAATTCTCTGCCTATAGATGTAAAATATATAATAATTTGGACTCCTTAGTAATGAATAACACAGATACTGTTTTGAATAGAAAAATTTTGAGATTGAAAGACTTGAGGGAGGTGACTAAAATATTTAGATCAGCTTGTAAATTTCCTTCGTGAGTTGGCTTTTAGATTATCAGCATAAGCTATAATTTTAGAGTTAACATAAGGAATAGCAAGATTCAAATAAATGATTTAAAAAAAAAAAAAGAGGCTATATATAATAATTCCTGAGAAAATACTAAATGAGAAGTCTTCTAGTTTAACTTATCAAGATTGTAATAAAAAGTAATTATTTAACCAAGCTAAAACAGTAGGTTGAGAAGGTATAACTGAATGAGCAATTAGTTATTGTGATATCGTCACAATGCCAGCTGCAGTTTTTAAAAAATGATGTGACTTCCAGTCCAGAAAGAAAGTTCATATAAATTTAATCAGGGTCTCTGGCCATAAACTTTCCATGTCTGGTCTGAATTTTAATGGTGTTTTACCCCTGTAAATCATACTTCTCCTGATAACAATTCAGTAATGCTGACCATTTATCTAACTCTGTGCTTGAAAATTTTTGAATTAAAATAATTTGATTTCTGATCTAGATCAGAAGTACACACAGTTAATTGGGGCCTCCAGCCCCTAATATTTCCATATCTAGTCTTGATTTTTATCTATCTAACTCCATTTTTGAGATCAACAAAGGACAGACAGACAGTGAGAATGTGTAGGTTTTCATTTTGAAAATTGCAACTCAGTCAAATGCTTGATTGATGTCAATGTATACAACAGGCAAACCTCTTTTACTCTCAAAACTCCAACTATTTCAAGTTTAATAGAAAATAAGTTAGTGAAGTTAGATCAAAGTTGGATGCCACATCATTGAGTTTAATTGTTCATGACTGGATAATAAATACAAGCATAGTTTAAAAAAAATTTCAGTGTAGCTGCAGACAAAGATATAGATCTATACAATGAAGAGTTCTCTTTAGAAATTTCAATAATAAAAGTGTACCATTGTTCTTGAATATAATTACATTATTCATTATTACGTTAAATATGAGATAAAACAGAAGAAGCATTAAGTAAAAAAATGGGTAATGTAAAATGTAATTGCAATTAAATCAGGGCTGTAAGTGTGAATTCAAAATAGCTTGATAAACATTAGAAAATGAAAGAAATAGATTTATTATACATAAGATATATTATTACTAAAAAGCAGAGGTAAAGAACACGGTAAAATGTTTAAAAAAATCTATCCTTGTCAAACAGGACACAATTTCAGTGATTCTTAGCTCCACTGATGATTATGCTCCAAATATCAAATGATGTTTGAAATGGAGTAACAAGACAAAGTGCACTAATGTATTCTACTAAAGTGATTATAAATGTTGCTACCACTAGTGCCAATAATATGGTGTAATCCTTACTTATCCACATGTATACATGCATACTGTGTACAAAGTTATAAGTTATCACCATATAATTTTTTATTTTTATTTATGTACATATTTTTTTATTTGGTACTTATGTACAAGAGGAGACAAAAGCATATGCCTGTGTGTCTTTGCAATAATCCATCACTGATTTAAGTAAATATTATCTGATAAGAATGTAAAAGTTCTTTGGCTGTATATATTTATTCTTAACTAACATCTTCAGACATCTATAATCTGATTTTTGTGTGTCATTCATTTTTTGTATGCATTTTGAATGTTTCTTCTGAAACAACAACTGTTCTACAATATACAGTTTGTCTTGTGGAGCAAAAATAAATTTTTTAGAATATAAATACATATGTTTTTAGCATGTAACTGTTGCTGAAATTCATATTTATCTATAATTGGTCTAACAGTTAAATATGAACTTGACTGACTGGATATTTTTTGGTAGCCATATGATGTCTCAGGAATTGATCTGCTTAACATTTTCTAGTTTTTAGAAATATTTCAGGTCTTTTAAACTATAATTTAAATAAAGGAATTAATTAAAATGAAAGAGATTTTGAGATATATTTAAAAATAGTAAAGAAAGTTTTGATCTGGACATTTTTCAAATGGATAATATAGATGTTAGAGAAATTGAACTGTTAATTTCAATGGTTTTTGAACTTTTTCTGATTGTTTTTATATTAATCCAGTTTAAAGTTAAGATTTGGGAAATTCCTGTTTTATTTCTAAGCTGTTTTTTGCAACTGTTAAAATCAGACAGGAATTTTTTAATTTATGAAATAGGCTTTCTTATATTGCAAAAGTTTTTCCCCCTTTAAAAGAAATTGGTTAATTTTTCTTCGTGTGTAATTTTTGAATTCTTGTTATTTCTACGTTTTATTCTGATTGAAGTCTTTTTCTCAAAAGTAGTAAAAAAAAAGAAAATTAAGTAAGATTAAGTTTGCAGTTTAAAGAAATTTTATTACATTTGTATTATCTAGAATGACTAACAATTCTGTTTCAGATTATGTTGGAACATGTATAAAAGTTTTTTGTAAGCATTGTAATTAAAGAATAACAAATTGATAAATATATATATTTTTTTTAAATAAAATGACACAATTATACCAGTATTGTGATAATTGTGAATGAGTGTGTGTGATTCTGGAATAATAATAATTTTTCAAACTATGGAGTTGGTTTATTTATTAGTGCATTACTTGGTAACAAATATTTCAGTTGAACATTATCTTAGTCATAACTTAACTGTTAACTTAAAAGTTCAAAAAATTCTTAAAACTCAAACTGAAATAACAAAACTAATTGCTATTTTTTTATTTGTAATTTTTACATAACCATCAAGTGGATCATGTATTTTAGAGATAATTCTGAAGTTGTGGGCATTTTAAGTACAATTAAATGAAAGGCTTATTACAATGGTTTCCCATTTTCCAACTTTGCTCCCTGTGATTTCAGAGAGCTTCTTTCATGGTGATTACAGTCTTGGTTGTGCCCACATTGAAGCAAATGAATGGTGAGCAATGGACCAGTAATGTATGAGTCAAATTTATTGTGAAAATTTTTGAGAGGCTGTTCTTGATGCAAATTTAGGTCTTTGGAGTATAGCCAACTGGCTACTTGTATCACAATAATCATCTGGTCATAAAATTATATAACTTTAAATGTAAAAAATTAAATTTCTTAATTTGTGCAATGATTACTACCCTAACTCTTGTTGATGTAGTATGATATTTAAAATTATATTTTGACATTTATAATTTTTTTTAAATAAAAGTTTTGAGTTCATGAATAATGTGTGATAAGATTATAATCAGTTTGGGGAAAAAAATGCATATATTGGCTTAAGTAATTTGGTGGTTTTTCAGCAATTCTTTATATCCAGATTTATTATTATAAAGTAATTATGAAATAGCATTCAAAGTTTAGTGTTTATATGCATATATGTAATCTAAATTTGAAGACTATAATTTTTTGTGATTAAAATATAATTTATTTTACAGTAGACGAACTAATATTTGTCTAATTCATTAACTGAAATATTTATTATAAAAAAGGCAATTTGGGAAAATGTGAAAATGATGATAAAATTTACCAGTTTAAAATTTAAAATTGGTTGATTTGTTACATGAAAAAATATTGTCTTATAATCAGGTATATACAGTAATTTTAAACTATTTTATATTAAGAATATATATTTTCAGCAACAACAACATCATACTCCTGGTCATCCTTCATTACATACACCTCAACCGTCCTCTGAAATTTTTAAGCCAAATGTAGATCCAATGTCTGGACTACACGCTGATTTTCGAGATTTATCATTGAAAGATAGTACTCCTCAGCCTCAATCAAGATTGACTCAATGGAAACTTCCATCATTTGAAAAAGATGATACTCCTCCTACTAGTAACTCAGGTGGTGGCAATAATAATGTGAACAATGGTCCTGCAGATTTTAGTCGTGCACCAGGATCTTTATCTAAATCATCTGGTCTTTCTTCTTCCTCCTCTCATGCAGGTTCAAATTTACATCCATTACTAAGCCAAGGTGAAAGTGCATGGTCAACTCTGCCACGTAATCAAAATGATATGGGAGGTTGGCCAGATTCGGCCATTAGTGTCCCTGGAAACAATACAAGTGGCAATAACAACAATGTTGGAAATAATCCAGGATCCGTTCCTACGACAATAACTAATTGCAATATGAATAATGGTAGCGCTGTTACTTGTGAAAATAAAGACTCTTCTGCCCCACAAACTCCTGTGGCTCCTAGTAGTACTACTACTCATCCAACTTACAATTTAACTGATTTGGTACCTGAATTTGAACCTGGTAAGCCCTGGAAAGGAACTTCTCAGATGAAAAATGTTGAAGATGATCCACACATTACTCCTGGAAGTGTGGCAAGATCTCCACTATCAGTTAACACTATTAAAGATACAGATTTGTTCAATTGGACATCAAAAAGCAGTCCTGTGACAGCAAGTAGTACAGATAGCTTAGTTTCATCACTTGCCACCTTAACATCAAGTACGTGGGCTTTCACACCACCAACTTCTGCTTCTTTACATAATAGGTAACATTATTTGAAATTATCATATTACATCTTGATATAACCAAAATTAGTATCAACATGCTTTTCTTGTTTTTTTTTCTTTTTTTCTTCTGCAGTGCAACAGCAGTGCCCGGAAAATCTGGCAGCTCTAAACCTAGCTGGGGACCTTTGATGTCAGATAATGCATCGGGTTCGGAATTGTGGGGATCGGCAATCTCAAAAACTCGAGGTCCACCACCCGGATTAGCCGGACAAGGAAAGGGCATGAACACTGCATCTTGGGGAGGACAAACATCTCGACATGGTTGGAATTCAAATGACAACAGATCTGGTTTATCTAGTGGTGAGAATCTGAAATTTAATTGAAACTTGATTAAATTTATTTTGTTTGAAAATATAAACTATTATTTGCTAAATAAAATTTGGCTGGACATAAAAAAAGAAAAATTTGAGAATTATTAGAAGACAAATGAGAGAA